GCTTGAGATGGGCAATGCTGGATAATGCATATCCTCTCAGCCTTAGTCTCTTGGATATCTGGCCTGCACCGTGGGCAGCAGTTGATCAAAGGCTTTGGTTTTGTTTCTTCTCAAAGTCATAGTGAACATTAAAAACATTTCAAATCATCTACCTGATTTATAGATTAAATAAATGCTTTCCCATTCATACCCTCTAATTTAAATGTAAATTTAGTATTTAAAAACACGCCTTCTAAAACCTTGTATCTGATACAAACTGACAGCTGCACAGGGATCAGACACGCGGTGAAGAATGGCTTCAAACACAACCATCAGCCAACAGAAACCAACGGTGTTGGTGGAAGGAGCTCTCAACAGGATTTTTAATTCCTGTTAAAGGAGTTTAAAAGTTCTGAAATCACGACTAACTCTCATGACGCTTGGAGGGAGAAATGACTGCAATTTTTCTCTCTTCTCCCCAACACCCTGTCTGTGCCCGTTCACAGTGGGCAGCAGGTGCTACAGCTCTGCATCTGGGTGCATGTTCCACGTTCTGGGAACACTGGGGGGATGCGATGTGATCTCATCCATGATCTCTGGCCCCCACAGCTTCTCCCTGGAGCTCAAGCCTGTATATTTTGGGTGTGTTGTGTTACGAACTGGAGGAGATGTCACCCACTCGTGGTTCCCCACCACGCTGGGCAGAGAGCCAGAGGGGACCTGCAGTCCTCAGCAGCTGCTGGGCAAACCCTCTCTTGGCTTTGTGATCTGCGACTGGCCTGAGCAATTCCTCCCTTCTCAAAGGATTCCAGTGTGAGAAGGAAGAAATGATATTTTTCTCCACGGTCACTCAGCGTTCGTTTATCTGTCACCTCCCCATTTTCTGGAGGCTGCCAGTTCTCTGGCAGGGCAATAAACATTATTAGCACAGACAGGAAGGAGTCGAGATCCTGGGGAGTAGAGGCAGAGCTTTATGGTATGTTTACAAAAGGCGGCCAAAAATATGACATCAAGTACATATGGAAATGCAGCCATGGCATTGACGCTGTGCGTGGCTGGGGGTTATAGTCCTCTGAAAGAAACACGAAAACCTGTCATTCCTTTGTGTTTTCTTTTTTTTCCCTTTGCAGTTTTTAGAGTTCATCTTTCTTATCATGCCATTTGTACTTAATGGGTATTCTGGGCCTGCAGGAGTGAATAGCTTTGGTCCTTAAGGTCTGCATGGTCTTTTTTGGAAGGGTTGGATCCACCAGGACTGGTTCGTGCCTTGTGCCTGCCAGCATGTTCTTAGCCTCGCTCCCTCCTGTGATGCTTTCCTCCTCCTCCTCTCCAGACTGTGTGTCTTGGCACTGCCATTTCCACATCTGATCCTTATCTCGCTCTTGGCTGCTGGGCTTGCGGGGCGCGAGGGTGGCACTGCCATTTCCACATCTGATCCTTATCTCGCTCTTGGCTGCTGGGCTTGTGGGGCGCGAGGGCGCGTTCCTGCTTCGCAGCCGCACAGCACATCTCCGGGGCTGAGCCGCAGGAATGCGCTTCCTGAGGAGCTGTGCCTTGTGCCTGCCAGCATGTTCTTAGCCTCGCTCCCTCCTGTGATGCTTTCCTCCTCCTCCTCTCCAGACTGTGTGTCTTGGCACTGCCATTTCCACATCTGATCCTTATCTCGCTCTTGGCTGCTGGGCTTGCGGGGCGCGAGGGCGCACAGCACATCTCCGGGGCTGAGCCGCAGGAATGCGCTTCCTGAGGAGCTCAGTGTCTGAAAGGGCAGCTTTGGTGTTTGGTACCACAGCCCGGCCGGGATTACTGAAAAGGTTACTCCCTACCTCAGAGCTGGAGCAGCTAAAAGAGGCTTTAAGAATCACAAAGGAAAATGAAAATGTAAGAGGAGAGAGAAGTCACCTTGAGTACTGTGTCCAGTTTTGGGCCCCCTACCATAAAAAAGACATTGAGGTGCTGGAGCAGGTCCAGAGAAGGGCGACAAAGATGGTGAGGGGTCTGGAGAATAAGTCTTATGAGGAGAGGCTGAGGGAACTGGGGTTATTCAGCCTGGAGAAGAGGAGGCTGAGGGGAGACCTTATTGCTCTCTACAACTCCCTGAAAGGAGGGTGTAGAGAGGGGGGGGTCGGTCTCTTCTCCCAAGTCACAGGCAACAGGACAAGAGGAAATGGCCTCAAGCTGTGCCAGGGGAGGTTCAGGCTGGATATTAGGAAAAAGTTTTTCACTGAAAGGGTTATCAGACATTGGAATGGGCTGCCCAGGGAGATGGTTGAGGCACCATCCCTGGAGGTGTTCAAAAGACGGGTTGATGTAGTGCTGGGAGGTATGGTTTAGTGATGATGCTCCTTGTTTGTTGTGCGGGTGTCTATTTTTGTCAGTTAGGTTGACGGTTGGACAAGATGATCTTTACGGTCCCTTCCAACCTAGAAGATTCTGTGATTCTGTGAAGTCCATCCTGGAAAAAAGGAAGAGTTCAGCAATGCTTATCACACACTCAAGCACATTTTCTCTTATTACAATTGACCTTTAGGAAGGGATTAATGAGACCAAACTGACCAAGCTCAATTCAGTTATTGATGAAATTTATAATCCATGAGCAGGCGCCAGTGTTCTGGCTGGCTGGGATGGAGCCAACTTGCCAGGCACCTGCACTTATTGCATGTTCATTAACCGCCCAAAGAGCTTTCTCGTTAGGATGCCAGGCTGCACATGTTTTCTTTAACGTTACCCTAATGCTGGTGGGGTTCGCTGGCAATGCCGGTCAGTACTGGTGGTCGCCCCATGGGTCCTGTTTCTTGCACTTTGTAGGGATGGTGCCTGCGGCAACGCAGGGTGCCCCCCTCTGCCCCTCTGTAGGGTGGCTGGTCCCTACAGCCCATCCTGCCTGTAGCATCCTCTTGCCAGGAGAATTGGCCAAGATCCATAACTCCAGGATGCGATGGGACTTAGTGCTGAGAAATCACACACAGGTTGAGGACACAACCTCAGAGCCAACAAGTGCCTCAGCTGGGTGCAAGGAGCCACCTGATGTAGCACAAATTCAGCCCTTTTCCAGTCTGTCCAGCACTGAGGATCGCAACCTCCATCCTCAAATAAACCGGGGGATTAGGGAAGAGGTGCCTGATGCTGAGGGATCAACAGGAGGTCGAGGAGGAGCCCATGGGATTTGCCTTGGTTTCCATTAGCTTGGTTTGCTGCACTGCAGTTTTTAACTCAATTACATTGTTTGTAAAAGGAGAGTTTATAAATGCTTGTCACCAGGAGAACAAAGTTACATAATTAAACAATTTACCAGAGAGTCTGTGGCTTCAGTGCAATTCTCTGGGGTGGTTCAATATTCCAATAAAAATACTGGGTGATACCATAAATATTGTAAATGGCTCTAGATGGTTTCCAAGGGCTATGTCAACTGTTTATTGCATTCAAAGAGAGAAGAATAAGCGAAATCACAGGGAAGATAAAATTTAAATAAATAAAATAATGGGAAAAATAAAGCAAAAAATATTTTCTTTTGTGTTTTGAAAGCTCTGGAGGATGTTTTTGGCCAGCATGAGAGAAAACCATCATATTTACCAGAATAACGAACCCAGGGCATCTGTGTGCACTTGCTCATAGGTTATATATGTATGTCTGCGGGGGCTGCGCATGGATGCTTAGATAAAATCTGCCCACAACATGGGGAAAATCTCTTTTTTTTTTTAATATATGATTGCCTGTGGCATTTGCAAATTCCAGCCGTGGAGCTCAGAAATGCATCTCTTTCCCTGGCCAAGCTGCTGGGCTCTGTCACGGCGAGGGCAGCCCAAGGAGAACGCCCGGAGCAGGCAGAGCGGTGGGGTGGATTATCCGTAGCATTGGAAATTGGGGAAGGTTGTTTAAAAGTTGTTGCTGAAGCAAGATAAATATTTGCCAGGCGCGATCCCACCATGCAAGGCAAGTAAGCTGTATGGAATGTGTTAATAAAATATAAATGTTCTGAAAAGGAAACAAATGTTGCGGATGAGAAAACAAGGACAAAACGGACTTGTGGCACCTCCAAAGGCAACAATTGAAAACATATTTACAGGGACTGGGCTGAGCCCCTTGTCTCCTCCGAGGAACATAAACTGCAGTACGTGCTGCCCACCCCGCGCAGCAGTGGGTTTCAGCGTGCCATGAAAACCTCAGCACTGCTCCCAAGATAACGAGGTTTCTCCATCTTTTACTAACGTGGAGATGTGGGGCTTGGCTGCTTGAGGAACTGGGGACACCCGAGTCACCGCGTGAGCAGCCCGTACCAACACCAGGGGCAGAAGCTTTGGTGCTGCCCAGCACAGGGACCTGGGTGACACCATGCCCCGTTGCAGGCTGGTGATCCCCTGCAGCCAAACCCCTTCTCCCACCAAGTGGGTGGCTACAGTGGATCTGCATGGGCTCCAGTGAAGGCTTATGGCACACCAAGTGCCAAGAGCCAGTGGTGGAGCCGTGGTGGTGATACCCTAGTGGTGGAGCACCCTGGTGGTGATGCCTCAGTGGTGGAGCATCCTGGTGGTGATGGCCTGGGGCTGGTGGCCCAGGGATGACGCCCTGGCAAATGGCACCAAGGTGGGGCAACCACTGGACCCCACTTGACACCTTGGGAAGAAGCCTATCCAGTGCCTCGCTTGCAGGCCTGGATGGCAGGTGCAGGTCTCACTTTTGTGCTGGCAGAAACACATGAAACTGCCCCAGCTGAGACTGGGGGACGGTCAGGCACAGGTCCCACCATCCCACTCATGACCCCCCTGCACGGTAGAGGGTAGAAGGACTTACGCGGGGGAAGCACAAAGAGGGGTTTTGGCAGAAGCAGCCCCGGGTACAGCAAGGACGGGAGAGCGGGGCGCGTTAGAAGAAAGGCATCACGGAGCGCTATAGCGAGGGCGCCGGGGAGCGGTACATGCGGAGGGCGGGGTAAGAGCCGACGGGAGTTCGTGGATTTCCGGCCAAGGCTGACGGAGATTGCCGAAGCGGCGGCGGCTGGCGCATGCGCTCTGCGGCGGCGGGCTCCTGTAATGGCGGCGGCCAAGGCGGAGGCGAGCGGCCTGTGCTCAAGCATGGCCGGGGCTGGCGCCGGGCCCGCGGGGCCTACGATGGACGAAGCGGGGGCCTCGGGGCCTGCGATGGGCGAGGCGGGGGCCGCGGGGCCTGCGACGGGCGTGCCTGGGGCCGAGACGGGGGCCGCGGGGCCTGTGGTGGCCGAAGAACCGCCGCCGCCTCCGCCGCTGCCGGGGCTGCAGCTGGTGCGGCAGGGCGCCGAGGCCTGCGTGTACCGGGGTATCTTCCTCGGGCGGGCCGCAATCGCCAAGCTGCGCATCCCGAAGCGGTACCGCCACCCGGCGCTGGAGGAGCGGCTGAGCCGGCGGCGGATGGCGCAGGAGGCGCGGTCGCTGCTGCGGTGCCGGCGGGCAGGTGGGCCCGGGGGCGGCGGGGCCGGGCCGCGGGCGGCGTGAGGCGAGGCCGCCCTGACAGGACAGACACCCCCGGCTCTGCACGTCCCTCAGAGCAGGGTGCCTGTCCTTCGGACACTTGGCGGCCTTCCACTTCATCCTCAGGGATGCCGGTGGTTTCATCCCATCCCGGGGCGACCTGCTCTGCTTTTTCAGTGTCTCACTCTAAAACGCAGACTGGCCGCGGCCAGAAGGGCCCTGTGCTTGTTTTTCCGGGGAGTCTTGCCCCAGGAAGGGCTGATGCTGTTACCAGGGTCGAGCTGCCGACAGGATTTAAGGCTGCAGGCTGGTGTAGCGTGGGTTGGAACCCAGGGGTTGGAGGGGGGCATTTCTCCATGTGCGTTATCAGTGGCCGATGGTGATCTCAATTGGCGTTTCTGGCTAAGGCTTGCATTGGGTGTGTTGGAAAATCCTGTTAATTAACCGCTAGCATTTCATTTGTTCTTTTTTGTTTTTAAACAGGGATTTCAGCTCCAGTGGTCTACTTTGTGGATCCTGTCACCAACTCCATATACCTTGAAGATATTGTAGACTCAATTACTGTTCAAGATCATATTAATTCTGTGCAGCAGAGTGGAAATGATACCAGCAGCCTCCTTACCTTAGCGGAGAAGATGGGTGAGCTGTTAGCGAGAATGCACGATGAAGATCTTGTACACGGGGATCTTACAACTTCCAACATACTTCTGCGACCACCCACGGAGAAATTGGACTTGGTGCTCATAGACTTTGGACTCAGTTTTGTTTCAGGTCTCCCGGAGGATAAAGGAGTTGATTTGTATGTTCTGGAAAAAGCCTTCCTCAGTACTCATCCAGATACTGAAGATATGTTTAAAACTCTGCTAAAGTCCTATGCAGCTGCATCTAAAAAATCCGGTCCTGTGATCAAAAGGCTGGATGAAGTACGACTCAGGGGAAGGAAGAGATCCATGGTTGGGTAGAAGAGAGTGGGCTTAGGGATGGAGAAATATTGCTACTTAGTTTCTGCAAATGGCGTTATTTATACTTCTAGTTGGTTTTATTTCACAGATCACTATTTTGATAACTGTCTACAAATAAATAAGTTTGAGTGAGTGGAAGTGTCATGAAGTAACCAAAGTAATTGTGAGATGGGAGCACAGACAAGAGAGAAACAACTAAAGGTCACCTCTTCTGTAGATGTTAAGTGTTTCTTCTAAAAAGTAGTTTACAGTTTTCTTTGGGTGGTTAGAATCGTACTGAGTAATCTTTCCCAGCCTGTGGACCATGGATTTGTGGGAGGTATGAGGAGCCTGGGGGTACCAGAGCATCTGTGAAAGGTAATTAAGAAAAACAAGCGTGTAATTTTTTTCAGAAGACTTTACAACAAAGTGTTTAAAACTGTTATAAATGGCTCTGTACATCTAAGAATTTTTAGGATGCTGAAATGAAAATTTTTACTAATGCTGAAATACCAGTGCTCGATATGAGTTCGTTTTCCTCCAGTAGTAAGTTTGGCTTTTTCAACTTTCAGTGGGTAGTCTTAAGCAAATATAAAAACTGTTAATCAAGAACAGGATTCTGCTGAGAAACTTAAGCAAGAAGTTGGCTGTAAAGTTTTTTTGGGATTTTTATAAAGAGGGACTGCTTGTATTGTGATTCCCTGCCTAGGAAGGCAGTAATGCTGGGGGGTTTTGGTAACACTTTCTCCATATCACTTGATTTCTGGATTACCGTATGTAATGTCAAGGTAAGATAGACCAAAGGAAAAACTGAGAAACCCCATGGTAGGTGAGTTAGAAGATGGGATGTGAGTTGTGCTGGGTGAGTGTGTGAGTGCTTCAGATGATGGTTTAAAAGAAAAACGGTGAACTTTTCCCCGAGTGATTTGCTGTTGGGCAGCCTCTGTCTGTGGGGGGAGGTCCTCGGTCAATCCTCTTCTGTTATGCCCTCACTGGTGCTCCGAGGTGTGAAAATGCTTCTGCAGGAATGCTGTTCAGTGTCCCGTCCCTTTTCCACCTGGAGGGGAAAAGCAGCCCGGGGTTCTGGTGGGCACAACCCTGCCCAGCCGGGGAAGTGGGGATGGGGGGCTTCCTCCCTGCTTAAAGCAAAGCAGCCCGAGCAAACCCCAGCCTGGGGACGCGGTAGGAGGGGAGGGGGCCAGCGGTAGCCCTCTGGCTGGGGGCCGGTGCCCAGCTGGGAGCTCGGGGTGTGGTGGGGAGAGGAATGAGGCGGGGGGGGGCAGGCAGGCGGCACCGGGAAGGACAAGGCGCTGCCGCGGCGCTCAGCTCACCCCGTGCGGTGGCGCCGCCGCAGCGCTGCAGCCTCGAAACGCCGAGGTTGCCGGTTCGCGGCCGCGCAAGTGTCCTAGCGCGACGGGCTGCCTGTGCCCGGCGCGCATTCACCTCTTGCCAGAGGAGCCGCCTGGGCGAGTGCCCGGCCCCGGCGTGGGGCCCCGGGTTCCACCGCTCAGCCACAGCTTTGGACCTCTGCGAGGGTGCCTTTTGTGTTTTTATCGCTTGGCTTCTCGCTGGGGGTGAGGAGAAGGAGCCGTGTTTCCATGCGGTGGGGTTTTAGGAGCTGCTGCTGCCAGAGTGAACCCACCAGCTCAAGCAGCGCACGGTGATTTTAAATGGTGCTCCCCAGGTGGCTTTGAGTGGCCTGCGGGCTGTGGGAGCAGTGCCTTGTGGCATGGTGGGAGCAGGTGGATGTGGGCTAACGAGTCCCCCTAACGAGGCCTGATCTGAGCCCCGAATCCCGGACCCACTGAGGGGAGGCAGCACGCCTGAACTCCCTGCCCGCTCTCCCCCACCTGTACAAACACCCCTTTGGCTCTCTCCAGGTGATGCCAGGGCTGGGTTATGTTTGCAAAGCCCTTTGAAGGAGTCTGTTTCTAACTATTGGTATGTTTATTAAAAAGCAGCTCTCCCTGCGGGACCACAGAGCAGAAACAAAGCGGATCAACTGCAAGTTCTTGCGGCCGGCGCGGTGCTCCGGGATGAACTGGTAATGAAAACTGAGATTACTGGGAATGAAAAGCAAAATGTTTTGGTTTTTCACTGCATGATAAAACTCCTCCTCGTTACATAAATGTTACTTCTTGCACATCTGTGTGATGGCTTGTTGATATTTCCTCTTGATCAGCCCGATGTGCCTGTACGGGTTGCTGTAGTGAATGCTGAGCTGTTGCTGTTTGAGGGTAGAAAAATCACAGCAGGCGCAGAGGATGCTCTGGACTTCCAAAGTGTCCACCCCGCATCTTCTTGCAGCCTCAGCTGTATGGCTGGTTGTGCCCATGGGAGCAGCTCCTTGGGTGAAAAGCACTGATTACCTGGCAGGGTCGCAAGGCAGGTGGAATTTCCAGTCCTGGCTGGACTGAAGATGGCTTGGCTTTGCTGCTGCGTTAGCTTTCAGTGTGTCTGCATGGTCATAAGCAACACCCAAATAATTGTTATTATTGATATAATTTGCCATCACATTATTAATACTCAGGGTTTATCTGTCCCCCTAGTGTCTGGTGACACTCCAGCATGAGTGCGTTCTCGTAAGAAAAACAGGAATCCCATTTTCTTTTTCTTTTTTTTTTACATGGATAGTTTATCCACTGCAAATACAGTTTCAAGGCACAAATATTCTTTCAAAGTTTGGTCTGATTTTTTTTATGAAGTCCTAAAAATATTTTGCACCCAGGTTTAGCTCAATTGAATTTAAAAGGAGAATCAATAAAATAAATCCTTCTCTTTTAAATGAAATTGGGGAAGAAAAAAAAAAAGTCTTTGAAAAGGGGTAAGTTGTCTTTTTGGCTAGAAGCCCAAATGTCTTTTTAACTCAGAGCAGCTCTGTCTTGTTTTGTATTTCCACTGCTGGCCAAAGCAGTGTTCAGTCCCACCATCCTCAGAGTGTGAGGATGCACCCTGAGCATGGTCACAGCTCTGGGTGACACGGGGAGAAGCGGTGATGTCCTGCCCTGAGTGACCCTAAGGGGCTGTTCTCTCCAGCCCCAAAGGTTGTGTTGGCCTTTAACACCCCCCTAAACCCTCCTGGGGGGCTCCGAGGGCGCTGGGGCTGTGCAGGGTGATGGCTGATGTTGCACCCAGCCACTGGGGGTCTCTCTGCCACCATTGCTGGCAGCAAAAAAATCTTTATACTTGGGGGGAAAAATGCTCTTTCAACAGAAAATACTTAGAAGTGTGTGCTGTTGGTCATTCTGGGTCTTTAAACTGCTTGAATCTTCCTGCTTTTAAGAATGAATTGTCTCAGGGGACCAACTCCAGCCCTGCAGGGAACGGCTTTGTTTTCAAGGGCTTCCTGGCACCTGCCTGATCTTATATCACACCTGGGTATCACCCCGTCTTACAACACACCTGGGCATTACCTGAAGTGCCACAAACACAAGGAATGTGCAAATAAGCTCGGGAAAGAGGTATTAAAGGAAACAGAGGAGTGTTATTTGCAGAATTTGCAGCAATAGGATTTCAGAGGAAATCAGTGGTTATAGGCGGAGCTGCCTTTTTTGTGTATTTTTGGTGCCTGCCCAGTGTCAGTGATTTCTCTCATGGAAGGGGGGAGCCAGCGTGTGAGCTCGAGGGTCCCAGCCTGACTTCAGCTTGGGGTAATAACAACCTCTGCTTTGCCCACTGAGGCCGTAAGTGCAGAACCGAACTAAGGGGATTTTTGGAAGTAGATGGGAGATTTTAGACCTACAGAAGAACTAAGGGGATTTTTGGAAGTAGATGGGAGTTGTAGACCTATAGAATCGCTAAGAGGAAAAACAGACATGGAAGAAAACACATATGAATATGGCAAAAAACAGGAATGAAAATGCAGTTGCATAATCTGGGTATGCTGTTACCGTGACTTTTGGACAGTGGCTGCTCTGTGCCGGCAGTTACTGTGTGTATATGTAAAAACTGTGCATACAAGCTATACGGTGTTGCTTTTTCCAGTGAACTTTTTTTAGTCTAGGCCTTGATGTCTGCAGGAAATTGATATTTTCCAGTTTTGCAAGATGCAAAACACCGATAACCTTTTGCAACCCTCCTCTCCCATCAGCGCTGATAGGAAACCAAGTTAGTGCAATAAAAGCATAAAAGCTCGTTTGTAACCCAGAGTTCACTATGTGAGGGTCACTACAGATAAATAAATCCTCTCCCCAGCCCGAGCACAAGCTGGGTCCCACAGTGGTCCCTTTGGGCGCTACACAGCACCTCTTTCTTTTCTGTTAAGCTAAACTTTGTGAGGGACGGAGAAGAGGTGACCCCAGCGATGGCCGTGGAGCACGGGGGGTGGGGTACAGTGAGGTTGCTGCTGCTGGCACTGGAAATGGGGGTGGTAGAGATGCATTTTACAAGGAAACTAATTAATTAAACCTTAATTGTCAACTGAAGGCTGAGGGAACCAGCATGTAGCCCCCGCACAATGCTCTGGTCTGAGAGCACTGAGGGCTGAGCTCAGCATCCTCCCCGCTGAGCCCAGAGGGGCCGGTGGGACCGGAGAGGGGCTGCCCGGGAAGGGACGTGACTCGCGTCTCGGAGGGGAATGTGTTCCTGTTCCCCTCGCCCTCTGCACTGGCAGAAGTCTGTATCTTCCTAAGAGAAAGAACAGATTGTGGCATTGATGGCTTATTATTCTTTTGAAGCTTTTTTTAACTTACAAGGTTGATTTTTGAGAGAAAAAAGCTTTGTAGAGCTCCTTTGGTCCAGCACGTGGCATGTACTCATATACGTGCTCCCAGTCTCTGGCTGTTGGGTCTATTGGGTAAGCTGGACCTGTTTTAAGCAGTTGCATTGTTTTGATGGCCTGAATTTTGCTTTCAGGTCCTTGAGCCCCACTACCCAAGTGATAAATCAGCTTATGCTACCGTAGTCCACCGTGGTGGATCAAGGTGGCACGGGAGTCCCCTACTCACTTTTTTTGATTATGGGAACTTTTTATTCATGTTGTTTAGCAGTTAAAGAAAAGCGAGATATAAATCCCTGTAGCTTTCTCTCAGTCAGCTCTGTGCTTTCTTCTGGGCCCCAAAAGAAGGTACACTTGCCAGCGGGGCTGGGCAGCCCCGGGGCCAGGAGCCAGGCGGATGCCGGATCCTCACTTTGCCAGCGGAGCCCGGCAGTGCCCGGCAAAAGCTTTTGTGTCTGTTCCGCTACTTGAAAAGAGTCACGGTGGTGATGCCATCACACTTTACCCCTTGCCTGGGATGGGTGTGGGGATTAACTGATTTGTGACTATTTATGCGAAATTGAGTATATATGCTGTTAAGGAGAGGGAGGGGAACAGAGGAGGTGGGTCCAGACCCAGAGCAGAGTCTGTTCAGACAGGGGTACAGTCCTGTCTCTAATGTTGGTTGTATCACTGCACTCTTCCTCTCCAATTTCTTGTTCCTTCTGACTGTGATTCATAGCTTTTATAAGCTGGGGAGAGCTTTCGTCAGTGGGGTCTGCTTTTTTATCCAATGCATTTGATTCCAACTTCT